ATTGATAAACTACACTAGGTATACCTTCAACGCACTTGATACGCTTGGCGACAAGCAGTTCACTTTCTGCTCGAAATAATTTCGAATGTTACTTTTTTTACAACTCCAGTGAATCCATATGCAATAATAGGTAAGCCTAAAAATTAGCAAGTATCTAGAGGTCAGGCTGAATCAGTGGACATAAATATTAACAGATGAGGTAAATGATTTGATTAATCAAATATAACATAACCAACGATAAATAATCTAAAAGAAAGTTTATAACTACGTCTACACAAGAATAACATATATTATTGATCAAACATGTATGGACTAATCAATACAAAGTTACTTAATCACATTACACGCCTGTTTTGAACAATGTCCTAATACTAAATTCATACTCTTTATTCCAGTGATACGAGTTATATGCTGCATTATTCAAACTAACTAGTTTTTTTCACAAAACAGAACATAAGAATCCCAGTGGATTGTATTCTAAAGTTATTTAGATTTAATCGAAAGCTTTCTAAAAAAATACAAACTAATATTTTTTTGGCAGAGTGAATCAAAAAGAAAATGAACCAGATTTCATAACCACAATGTAGAAATTTAATTTATATGAGCCTTTTCAAAAAACTATTTCTTGGGTTAGTTTAGTATTACTAACAGAAAGTTGAAAACTTAAATAAAACTTACAGGGTTTTAGATAAACTTTTTTTCTAATATATCATTCCCAAACTCAATGGTATAACTAGATAAGTCCAGGGAAGATAATCTAGTACAGTTAAAAGTATGATTTTCATTAAACATCAATACAACGATATATTTCAAAATTATGAAATCGATACAATTATTTATTACCAAACAGACTAGAACACTATAAAAGGTAACAAAATTAACCAACGGTATAAGCTGTCATGCATTATGAATGTATGGAGACAGTATTAACAAGGTAAAATCCAAAAGGATAATAACGGTACTAGTAAAATTAAGCAACTAGTAGAAATAAAAAAATACATAAAAACCTGACGTTCGAGAACCAACATGGTGGATAAGTGCACGGCAATATGACAGGTTCACAGTTACACTGCTTATAGATGTTCATAAGTTATGCTGCTGCAACGGAACACAGATGATAGATAACTGTCTTTACTCAGAGATAGAGACACATGAATACTATAAAATTTAAAGACAAAAAGACATGGTACATTCAAATGCGAAAATGCACAACCAATTATATATTTAAACATCTAGCCTATGTACATCACTGTTGACAGTTGCTATCATCAAATCAAAAAACTGTCTAGATAACCTTTAGGAGAATAAATGCGACGTATCCTGTTGTTTAATTAGGGAACGTAGTTTCGCAGTTATACCTTCATTTACACAACACGGAATTCGAAAAGTCTATTAATGTGCATTGGAGGCTAGAGTACTATTCGCTCAGATACCCTAATTCTGGATGTTGTCAGTACGCATGAACTATGGTTAGATATTACAGATAGTTGGCAAAACCAGTAACCCTAAATTCTGTCAAAACTTCTAAATAGTACAACTAAATGTCAAATAGCAAGTTTATTTACTCAACCCTAGTGCAGTTTTTATTGTAGATCCTCTTCGTTTTCAGTGGAAATAGTTCTAAATCAGTGGTACGGATATCAAAGAGGTGCTTGGTTTCTATTTCGCTGATAATCATACTCATGCCGGATCAATGAAAATAGTTCTGCAATAAGACAGTCTGTTTTATCGTAGCGTACGAACCGATAATGAATACTATTAAAAGCTGAGGACTATAATAGTGGATTAGGTAATTACCACGAGAATGAACTGAGTTGAACAAGTAGTTGAAACAAAAGAGAGACACCGTTCAGTAAAGAAGCACGGTAATGTTATAAATTGTGCTATGTTTGTATAAATATCCAGTGGTTGATAGCAGAATGTTCAATAAATTAACCAACACAGTAAGCTGTTTTCATCGGCTTATCCAGATCAGATGTGTAGTAACATAACTTTCGGGAGCCTTTGTACCATGATACAATACCAACATTTAGTCTACCTGATCATAAACAACTGACTGATATGAAGTGAGATTTCTTGGTATGATTTGGTGAACAAAAGTAGGAACCAGCAAAAATCCATTCACTAAGTAAGCAAGTAGTCGTCGCAAGTATAATCCAGTGAAATAAAATCAGAGAGAGAAAAGAGACCACGAGGCATTCAGAAGATTAGAATTTGAGAGAAAGCAAAGAATGAATACATCTGCGCAGCTACAAACGATTTTGAGCTGTCATTCAAAGTTTCTAACTATCGGTTAGGATTTTCTCGTGGACACCAACCAAGTACTTTACACCTATTAACATGGCTCATTCCAGTTGTCAGTGACTCCATGGATTTGTGCCAAGTTTTGGTTTGACTGTCCCTAGCTTTTTCCAGCCTACTCCTATATCACAAAACATCGTCGAGGTAGTTGGCAGTTAGTCATGCGTAACACATGTCCCAACCACCTCAACTGATAAAGACTCACTACTTCATCAATCGACCTGCGATCCTTACATAGTACCCTTCCCCAAATACCAGCATTGCCTATTGAGTGGTCCCAGATATACAGGGTATGCTCCTAAGGCACCGATGATTGAATGTCAGTAACCTAAAAATATCCTCCATTTTTAGTGGCTATGTTTCGTACCTATAAAGTAGAACAGAGCGAACTGCTGAGCATTAGATCGTCCTTTGGTTGGTAGACGGATATCTCACTTACGCCATAAGTGACACAAGCTAGCAAGAACCAGCCAGGCCTTCTGCATCCCTGCTGAGATTTCGTCAGACGCCAGGCCATCAGCACTGATGAGACTCTCAAGACAAGTGAAATCCATCTTTCACCTCATCTGAACTGTAAAGTGAGAGCGAAGTCAAAAACACAGAAGAGGCAACAGCGATTAGTCAAGCAGCGTATAAACGACTATCAACTGGGATCCAGTCTAAAAGAGCTAGTTCTGCACTGGGATTCAATACTATACCTACACCAGCGAGGTCACGGGAAGCAGCAGTGGGGCTTCCAGACATACGAAGTGTAAATTGCGAAGGTCTTTGTCTTGGTGGCAAGGTGAGGTAAATGAATGACTACTCAGATCCTGTATGCGCGTTCCAGAGACAACATACATCAATAGCACGATATTCTAGAGTATTAAGGTAGCCTCTTGTTCTATTTGGCACACAGTCGGAAATTAAAAGCCCTAATATATACTTTAGAGAGGTTTCAGGAGACTGGGAATAACGTCTCATGTACTCGAATCGTTTGCATCGGTGGTGTGGTGATAAAAGAATGAAAGAAGCGTCAGTCGTGGAGGTGAGAGGGTTATTAAGAGGCATAGGAAGGATTTTACTATGACCAATCCGTTCCCGTGTGCTGTTACGGGTATGAGTGTGGATGTCACTTCCCGGATGCCGCATCGTGGAAGAGTATTTTTCGAGCCTCAAAACGATATATGGTTAGAATTGGTCTTAGAGAGCTGGGAGCGTGATCGCAGAGCCCAGCGGACAGCTGCTTGAGGCTGGTCATGTACGGCCTTTTTGTGAGGCTTAAAAGTAATAACACCCCAGTTTTGAAGGCCTTACCGCTGGAGACGAATTCGTAGGGTAAGGCGAGGTGTGACAATTTTAGAGTCCACCATTTCTAACCCCTTCCTTCGTTTTGAGAAGGCAGCATCGCTGCAGATGCTGGTTGTCTGAGGGAAACAGCTTACCGCTGTCACATCCCTCTACAGTTAGCAATACGAATCCACCCTCAAACCTTGAGTTGCTGCTCTTAATCTTACAGTCCTTCAGTCGACCTGCCTTGCATGTTAGGACCTACAGCAATATATGTTCCAGACAATATAGATCGGTTGGGTCCTCTAGATAGGCAAGTCCAACAACCACGCCAGGGTAGCAGGTACGGTCAGGATATATGAACATATCCTAGTAAGCTAAGTAATTATACCAAGTACGTCACTTGTGTCATGATGTGACACAGAGAACCACAAGGTCTCTGGGAAACCGAAGCAACGACGCCTAACATTCCCTTCAGATTGTAAGTCACAAGCGTATTTTTGGTACAAAAGTACTGACCCGGTTCTTGCAACAATTATTCGACCCCAAATGTAAAAACAGCAAAATAACACCATACACGTCAGCAACATATTTTTTCATAACAATAACAAAATATCTTAAGTCTCAGTAAAATCTGTGTCAACGACTAGCTCTTTGCTATTCCAGTGGATCTACGGTTGACAAACCATTACGGATGTCGCGAGAGTTCCATCTGAACAGGAAAGAATATGTCAATAATCTGTTACACAACATTAGTATGACTTAAGTCGACTAGGTGTGCGCAGACAGCGACTCTACCTGAAAGGTAACTAGTTTATATGTGAAGGATTGTATATGACTCTTCGAGAGGAAATGTTTATTTTGAGACGAAAATTTCATTCTCACACCCTATTTTATGCTCCATAAAGTAGTGACTTGATCGGTCTAACTAGGATTGTAAAAATGAGTTTGTACCAGTACATCTTACTTCTCATCCTACCACATAATTACGATCAAAATACAATGGTAAACTAAAAAATTCAAGAAACTATGTTCCTGTTCTAGCAGAGTAGCCAATCGGTTTGGTAATAAGCGGTTGTACCTACAAGCTGAAAAAGAGGTTCACATTTAATCATCACCGTTTCTGCAAGTAGTAGGCCGTTGAATGAGCAATCATTAAGACCACTACTATGCAAACCTACAATCTAAAGAATTGAGACTATCTAGCCATAAAACGTGCATTGTACTAACCTAAATAAAGACTTACAGTAGAAATATCCTTTAATCAAGCTTCTATGAATGAGTAAGGGATTGACAGTTATAGCATACCAGGTAACCATGGATAGTAATAGATCCGCACAACTAAACGTGAAACTTAATCTAAATTTGACAAGCGGACTAGATTTGCATATCAGCTTTTAGTTTATAGAATAATGAAAACAGACACATTTACAGATAAAATATATGATTCATATTAATAAAGGATAATTAATTTACAAAGTCTGTAAAAGAATCCTTAATAATTATTAAAATGATCGATATCACCTTGATTTATAACCTTGAACATTATATCCGGTATGGTGATTGGGAGAATTATGTTTTTACAGTAATTTTAGAAATGAAAACGAAAGACATGAATAAATTGCTCACACGTGAATCACTAGCTTTCTTTTGCTATCTCTAATTCACTTGGAGAATTAGGTCTGTCATTAACAATAAAATCTTTAAATCGACAAGCAACAAGTAATGTCGGAAAGCTTGATAATAAGAACATAGACAGGAACACTAAAGTTGGATATCCAATTAAAGAACCTCCAACATAAGGTCCAATTAAAAAGGCTATATTTATGACAGTACGGAAAATAGATTGAGCTCGGTCCATATCAGAAACTGGAGCAAGTTTTGTGTACAAGGATTCGGAATAAGCATATGTGAAAGGAATCCCAATTACGTGTATTGCTATACCTGTGAGCGCCACAGGAATACCGATTTGCACAGGGATTTGAGGAAGCAGATATGCCCCGACTGTCAACCACAAGTAGGAAATCAGCATAGTAACAAGACCTGCTAATAGTAAGACACGATCTGTGTAAAATTGATTCAGAATGCGCAATATTATCACCACGAAGATAACCAGAATGCTTGCAGCAAGATATACATAACTTGTTTCTACTTCGGTCCATTTAAATATACGGTTGGCTATTGGTGGTAGCGCTGCTTCTAAGCTCATAAAACTGAAGTATGCTGCAAAATTCACACAGTATAGAGCAATTATATTAAATTGTAGATATGGTCGTAAAGAATTGTTTATAACAGTAGTACTAAACCGACCAGAGTTTAACGAATCAGTAGAATCACTGAGCATTGGTCTAGAATCCTCCTTCATTTGTTCAGTAGACTGCATCCAATTTTCTCGGTTGCAACAGGATCGCTGACCATCATTATAAATAACTCTACCATTCTTATCGACATTGGGATATGAAAAAAATATAACGAATGAGTGTAAAAGCCATAATATTGCCATCAGGAGTCCAGGGCCATTGTAGACGTTGAGTGTGAAATTAGCGACATGATAATTCATTTTAGCCATCATCAGTGTAAACGAAGGACCGAAAATGAGACCAATTTGACGAGTAAGTAGTAAGACAATAATGTATGTAGTACGTTCATCTCTGTTTGTAGCTCTTACGATGTCAGCATAAAGTGGAGGCTCACAACTAGCTCCAATTCCAGAAATCAGCCTTCCCAGTATAACTGCCGAAGGGACAGGAGCAAACAAGTAAATAAGATTGCCAATGATTTCCAGAAGATTGGCGATCAATAAAAGTGTTTTTACTCGAACACCAGAATAAGAAGCAAGACCGTATATAGGGGTCATAACAAGAATAGATAGACTGAATGCCGCAACAGTAGTTCCATAATGAGTATTAGCAACGTCTGTCCCCCAATATTCTTTGAGATATAGCCAAAGAGTAGGTAGTATCACAGCACGTTCAACATTAGATAAAAAACCCCAGGTGGATGCCGTGAATACCATCCAAAATTTGTTTGACCACATTGTTTGCCTGCAACACAAACAACATCGGTGACAAAACGACATGGTAGATTTGCTTGTAGCCGAATACATACTATCGGTATGAATTGGTATGGTCACATCTGAAGTTTGTCGGTTATGTCTTGGTTTAATTTTCCCAAGATCAGGAGCCGCAGAAGTGGCGACATCGACCACCGATTTATCCATCATAAGATGTCATCTCCGCTTAAAATGACATATCTCACATTGTCATGTGGCTTGCTAAAAGCTGTGATGGTTAGACAAACATGTAAGGGAAGATTAAGCCAATCAGATAGATTACAGAGGAAGGCTTAAATGTTTTTAATGACTAACACACTTGGACTGCAAGTTGATTGGTTTTAATAAAATTCGATAACTTTTTTTTAGTCGTAGCAACGATTCGTCTGCTAAATTTGGTTCTTCACCTAGATATGTCACTACTTATTCAAGTTTGATGCCCAGTTGTATTGGTTACTTGATTACGGCTTAGTGACAGGATATGTTGGAGCCCTAAATAAATCATAGACGCACATTGATGATTAGACTTACGGAGCAATTCGCAGTACACCTCTGATTTTAAATAAGTATTCGTTTCGATGTCGAAGCCATAGGTGATTGGGACCAGGGTATATCGGAAATAGGAAAGACTGGTTCAGTGAAGGGTTTTCTTTTCGGCGAATTCATTTTCAGAGCTGTACATCCCCAAATATTCACTTTATCTCCTACATGGTAATAATTACAGTAATGGTGATGATAAAAATTCTTCTAAGCGTGGCAATAGTGAGACAAATTAGATGAGGGCATATAACGTTATTTTGATTAAAGGAATTAGTAATAATACTGTCGTTGAGAGCTTAAATATTCGTCCTGAAGACTGATAAAGAAGGGAAGACTCCTTATGACAAAACAAAACCTTCTCTTATTCGTTTCTCCCGAAAATATCTTTGGTAATTGTTTGCCCTTAATGTCGACGATGGAATCAGTCTTCCTTCTGCTTCTATAAAATCATGGTTAACGTGGGTTGCTTAATTTAGGTTTATTGAAGACTTGCGCTCTAGATATTTACCTACGTGTTTCAGCTGCCTCTAAAAGCCCTGATGCGGCCGACAGTGAAGAGCGGATTTAGTGGATATGGAAGATCTACCCAGGGTAGTGGGAAAACCCTGATTCCAAACCAGTGATACATATGGGCTACAGACTCCTGATGGAACGAATAGCGAATTGACCTATTCTTGGTCACCGGTTACCATGGGACTGCAACTCATGGTGTTGCTCTACTTTACTGTGGATTAGGCCTGCGTCAAAAGCTCAGTGAGTGACCTTCGATCTGGACACTCAGACAGTATCCTAGCTAGCCCACACTCAAACTCAATGATTTGTATGGCCTATAATTATTTAGGTACCCCTTTGTCCTAATAATTAAACAATTAAATAAAAGTGGTTTGCATTTCTGAGGAAATCATTTCTCACTATATCAGTTTTTCTTCTAAATAAAAAGTTCCCAGATAATATGATTTTGCAAGGCCTATCCTAAAATGTTTACCTGAGGGCAATCGATTTCCTTGTGTATTTGAGTCATGAGTAATATTTGTTTGAGCGCTTTCACGTACAAGCCGTTCTGAATTCTATTCAACCCCCTATAATCATCGACATGAGAACATTGATAGCTACTTGAAAGAAATTCAAAATCACGTACTCCTACCATAACTTTTTAATGGATAACATTATTACCAAATATGAATTCATATTAAAATTTATTGAAATATACACTTATCTGTTGATATCTTTATTTAACATTTGAATACACCTTGTAAACCAAAGTATAAAATAATCAATTGTCAAGAAAATCAAACATCATTTATCTGATTAAGGATTAGATTATGTCATGAACTTGCTTTTAGGTTACGCCTAAATGTTCACTTCGAAATCATCGTTCAAGTGAAAACACTTAATCTTATTACTCAAAATACTGTTTTGAAATCCAGTCGCCTGTACGTAACTAACTTCACTGTATAGTGTACTTCTATGAACTCCACATAAAACTGAAAGAGGGGATACGTTGTAAATAAGATATATGTCTTTTCATGGTAGGGCTATTGGACTATGTAAGCTAAAGTTATATATTTTGTAATGATTTAACAAAATTTGGCTTTTTTTCTGACAATAACCTTATCGAGCAAACGTTAAAGATTTCAAATCAGAGTGGATGTTAAGCTATCTAGGCCGTGAAATATCTCCTGTGGGACCGAGATGTATTTATAACTGATCGGCGATTAGGTAGTGACCAATGTCATGTGTTTGAATTCCTTTCTGGGGTTGGACTATCTTTATCTTCTATCTTCTAAAGTAATACCCAAGCATACATGCTCATACAAGCTTAACAATGATAAAAGTACAAAATATATGTGAAGTGCTACACCGTCTTAGTGCTGATCGGATTCTAACAACCAACCTTTTGATTATTTCCAAATGTGTAGTGGCATGCGAATCAATTCCATGCTTCCATTATTATTATTATTATTATATATATATATATATATATATATATATATATATATATATATATATATATATATATATATATATATATAATTTTCTCATGGAAGTATAAAGCCGTTTACAGAAAGTTCAGCATAGACTCTGGGATATTTCAGGCTACTGTATGGCTGCATCCCACAATCAGAGATGAGGACAATATCATAGACAAACACAACACTTGCTGGACAGAAAATAAGCAACTTAGCATAAAAATCACATTAATTGTTCTGTCCTGAGAAATTAGTCGAGATTTAGTAGTAGTACTAAGTATACCAGTCTATTCTATTTATTGATTAATCTCATCTATCCTGCACGCAACATCAGATGTTGATTACTTTTAGACAAATTTTGTCATCAGAATAAACTAGTGAGATTCAACAAACATTATTGATCCCTCGAAATTTGTCCTTGCTTTGTATTACTTAGATCAGTGGTACATACCCTTCCTTCGAAATGATAATATCTCTCAATATTGATTATTTCTGGTTATTAGTTTGATTCTCTGTTTATGCGTTATATACATCAGTGTTGTTTCTGTCAACTAACCTTTCATTAACACATGATTATTTAATAAAATATACTAAATGTAGCTCTGTGTACACTCAGGTAGTTTTGCAAGAATATTTATGTCGAAAAAGGATATCAAATGTGTACAATTTGTCAGTTGCTGTAGTGTTAACTTATAATTAATAAAATATACCAAAGTAATTCATGTATACATTATTTGAATCGATTATGTAACAAGACAACGAAAATGTACAGTGATAAGCCTTTTTCTTCTAGCTGAATCAAGGAAGAAAGCAGTAGAAAGAATAGTGAATCAATTAACCTGTTATAAGACATCATACTCATTTCAGGTTTCCATTTATGAAGTAAGAATGAAATTTCATCTTAATGATATTCATATATGTAAACACGTATGTGCAACAGTAAGTTGACTCAAACATCAAATATTTGTAAGCTTATGTAAACAGTTACAAATTTTAAATAATAAAAAGATTGTTTATTTGGTAATGCCAAATATGCACTGCTAATGAGCTCCATACTAGGACGAAACGGCCAATCAGCGCTTCCACGTTTCTAATGGTTGTCTAACATTAATCAATTCATGATTTCAATGAGATTTTAACAATCTTCACAACCCGATAATGACAATCCCAAATGAACTTTTTTTCTTGAAAATTTAGTAGTTCTAACTATGATAGTTTACGTTATATTGAAGTGTTATTGTAAATATTAAGTTTGATAGCAATGAATATTCAATCAGCATAGCATCGATTTGAATTCTTTTGGAAAAGTGAACTACCTTATATCAGTCAGTATTCAAAGAATTAATTAATCGGTGGAATACCTATTGTTGTTTGTTATTTAACTTCAAACTATTTATTTATCTATTGGTTAATTTACGAAGAATTAAACATAAATATTGATTTCATAATTGATAAAATAAATAATTTTACGATTTGTCTATTACTTGATGCTAATTTAAACTGTTTTTTTTTTTATATATAGTTCGGTTTATTGATTTTAATGATAGAAAATTAGTGAATTGATTTTGTCAAAGTTGTAGATTTCTTTCATTGGATTATCAGCTGATGCTTAAAGAAAGAGGCTTATGAAATGTTTGAATGTTTCTGTTCTCTTTAATAATAATAAGATGGATTTAAGTCTTCATGTTTGTTTGTTTGTTTGAATCGAATAATTCAAATGATTTATTGTTTGAATAATTGAAAATTATTTGAAATAAGAAGGAAAGTGATCAATAACTGCTGTTGTTTAATATTGGTCAATTTTTCAATAAATCACAATCATACCATAAGTAAGCTATGCCTCTATGATATTTTCTAAATAAAAAGTTAGCAAAATAAAAGTTTTGAAGAGAGAGTGAATATAAACGATTTGTGCATTATCATATAAATTCATTTTATTTCATAAAGTTCTCTCATGCGCTGAATTATCAAAAAAAAACATGTGAGAATTGTCTTCACAACTGTGAAAGGTTTTCTGTTAATCACCTATTGACCTTATACTTCACTTGATGAAGTTATTAAACAAGTTAGAATGTTGTTCTTTTTCAATTCCTTTTTTAAAGAAAATAATTATTATACTTATTATTGATGAGTAGCCAATATACAAATCTAAATTTTTCCACATATGGAAAAAGCAACTTAGTCAAAAATAAACCCACTTCTCACCTTGAACCTTCTCTAATTATCGGATATCAACATTGATTCCAGAGTTTATGTGACAATTTCCACAATAATATCATAGTATCATTCTTTAAATTCAATAATTAGTGTTTATGATTAAAAGCGAACATCTTTAGTGTTAACATGAGAATGCTTTGACGGGCAAAAATATATCGAATTTGTTTAAATAGTACTCAGCAATCGATTTTTTTAGGTCAACTATGACTTCTGATTATTGTATCGAAATATATAAAGTAGGCATTTAATCCATTGTTCGTAAGATAGTAATCATACTTATAATATTACTGAAGTCAAATGATATAAAGATTTGGTTCGTATTAGATCACTAATGGAAGTTTTAAACAAGATTAGTTATATTATGAATTATATCTTCATTTTATTAACTTATAGTTAATGATGGTTGACAACCGAAGGTGACCTTAAACATTTATTTATATAGAAAATACTAGTTGAGTAATATTAGGTAACATTTTTAAACCATGAATCTATTTTTTTTTACGTTATTCAACATTAATCATAAAGGTATACTTTAAAACCCCTGAACTAAACTCTCAATGGGATTCGAAAGCCTTGCTAATTAGTTCCAACTAAAGCTAGATCATTAGAACTAGTAAAGCAAAACAGTGATCCGTTAACTGTAAACCAATTGATAAAAGTATCCAATCACCAAGACAATATTAATGTTACCGATATACTTAGTTGATTAGTGACTAAAATCTCTTTCATGATTCAAAAATAAATTCCAGAATATCTTTCTCACTTATACTTTCAAACATACTTCATATCTTGATGCTTTCATCTAATGACTCTCCCACTTATTCAAAGTTATTTTCTAAAACTTATATATATTACCACTGTTATTATATCAGTATGCCTATCCACTAGTTCATTTTCGTATTTATAAAATTGAAATTTGAAATTTACAAGCGAATAGGTGATAATTAAAAGTTTGAATAAATTTTTTTTCTTCTAAATAATCTCATTCCATATAAACATTGAATTAACATTTGTGCATTAAGTTTATAAATGATTCTATTCAACAAAAAAAATTTAAGCATAAAATCTATGTCTGACACAAACAACTAGAATATCATTGTTTAAATTAAAAATTATTCAATATTAAATTCATTGTCAATGATAAACAAACAAACAAAATGTTGAAACATTCACATTGTATATGCAATTTGTGTAGTAAATAAATTGATCATATTATTATTGAACAAAATATTTGTTGTATGGGACTATTTAACAAAATCCAGCATTCTATTTAATACAAAGAGAAAAATTTGAAATAGTTTAGCGCCACTTAGAAATCATTGAAATTCGTGCATTGATAATGATGAATTATGTTTAATTATGATTGGATAAAAAAAGAGTTGCTTCATAATCATGATGTCTGACTCGATGTGATATGATTATCAGGGAAATTCGGATAAATGATTTAGATTTAAGCTACTGGCCAGCTGTTAAGCTTGATTTAATACAAGGTTGAAGTCTTTTAGTTAGCAAATACTGTCACTTTCGAAATTTCTAGAACTCCGTAGACGAGCAATTTTCAGTTAAGTCAATCGACTGATTGGTTTACTATCTACAGTTGTTCACACTATAGTCTATCATTGTCGTTAATATTTACAGGATCTAAATAACTTACTTCCCTAATCATGTACTTCATACTTATCAATTTTGAAATTCACCGTAAACCTATTCAACGAATTTCATCACACTCCTATACTATCGATTTTATTTGTATAAGCCTAATCAGTGAATGTATCGCTCCTAATTATGTTGTTCTATTTTTCATAATTGATTGAACATACTGTTTTAACAATGATATGTCTACATATTGATAATTGTATATCTGTCTACTTACATTCGATTTATTATTTGTTTGGATTGGTAAACTAAGTAACACACCTAATAATTTTGACCCAGGTCAATGTCCGAACAAAATGCATTTACTATAGTTACAGTGTGTCTACAAAAATATGACTATTTTAAAAAAAACATTTCGTATTTTGTATTTGAATTGTAATATCCGATCATTTAAACATGATTAGTGGTAATGTTGCTTGCATTATTTTACATCTAATTTTGGCTAAATATTTCGTTTGCATGAAGAACTACTGAGAATATTCCAGATACTTCCTTACTTTAACTTTCCCACAGTTGATTATAGTCTGACTGTCTACCGTGTCTGTTTTAAATATAATCTATAAACATTTTATGTGTTTTTTCAACTGAAACCACGCTTCTTGTTGATATTTCGTTAACAGGCCTAAGGGATACTTGCAAACAAGTGGATTATATAACAGATCAATATCTTAATGGTCTAAACTTCGTAGATGAGGTTAACTGAGATCTGTGTTTCTCTGGAGTCAAACTTGACCATCACTTCAAGTATATTTTGCTCAATAATAAACACTTGGAATTTTTATGAAGGCCGTTGTTAAATGAAAGCATTCATATATGTAATCATCAGTGTAAAAAAAACCCTGTTGACTTGTTAAATAGTTTTAATGAAGTCACAGTTAAGTAAATCGGTTCATTTAAAAAAATTGACTTTACGTATCACTATTATCATTATTATTAACATTAGTAATGGCAGTAATAATGGTGATAATCATGTCATTATTACCTTACAAAGTCGATGAACTAGAAATTGCTCTTTAAAGCTTAAAGTTATCGCCATGAAAATATCATGTAGAAATGTATCACACTAAAACAAAATAATAAACAATAAATTTATTCGAATAATTTATACAATACAATATATCCAACATCAACAAGGATCAACAGTAATAAACTTTGTCATACAGGTTTAGATACTGAAGGAAATAGCCTACGATTAATATAGATGAAAATATAAATTTATAACTAATTTGAGCGCCTTTATACATGCCATGTTGTTACGCATGCACGTAAGCAGATCATTTGATATGCTTGAACTATTACGAGTTTACCTTAGTCGGAAAACGAGAGCGAGGATCGAGGATCCGGTGACACAACAGACTACTCTAATCCTATTGTCCAAAACCCCCATTGAGTAAAAGAAGAAGACTTCATATGAAGTAGAACCTGTATTCTACAATCATCCAGAAAGTACGAGGTCCGAGTCCAAAAGAGAATCAGGATCCCAGACTAGGGATCCGGGTTTGGGTCATTAAACGTTACAGATAATGTATATTTATACAGTTAGGTCGAATAGGAAACAACAATGAAGTCTGTGACATTGACAGTTAGGACGACCAATAAGAATTAACCGATAGGAATCGACCAATAGAATTAGCCTTACAAACTATTATCTTAGGATATTTGATGAATGTCCTAACTCATGTATATCAACAAACTATTTTTGTTTAACTAGATTAGATAAATATTTGAATTAATCTAATCTATAAAAACAAAAAGAATTTATAGCCAAAAAAGGAACTATTATAAAATGAACTCACTAGAAGAGAAAATTCAGGCAATTTATTGCACATAGTGAATGTGTTATTATATAATTCGGATAGATAAGTTTCCGACAATAATATTGATTTTATCACTAGTCCAGTAGTGAGACAATATCTACAAACTGATAATGTATAAATAAAGTAGAAAATATCGTTTATATTAATAGGTAATAAAAATGATATTAGATTTTAAATTTGTTAATAATTATAATATTCCTTTGTTAATAATCAAGTAATGTGTTCAATATACATAATGAGATGATAGTTTAACATTGTTATGGAGATCATCACTTTGGTTCATCAGGATGAACTCGTATTTATTAGTAATATGATAGAATTCGATGATTGTACACATATCTCAAAGAAAGCGGATCCCATTATGATGGAGCTGCATTCTCTAAACCCGATGGTATGTTTGTGAAGCTTTTATGATCCTTATGAATAACATTTTTAGCACATATTTCAGTTATAAGGAAAATATTCGAACGATAGAAATTTCCCAAAGTATACGAAACTTCTCAACTACTGTAGTAACTACGCAAGAACTCAAAAAAGCAACTGAGTACATGCTTTATTCAAGAGAGTGAAGCACAAGTGTAGCACGGAAAAACGAGGAAAAATACCATCTGGAAGAACATCTATCCGCGCAAATTCGTCAAAAAATACCGGCGTACACCATCAACAGAGGCTAATTCAAGTGTAGACGCCAACCATAGATAAAAGGCATATCGGAAATTTCAGCAAGACTGCTGAACCCGCTTGGAATATGTGTAGCGCATAAACCAACAAAATCACTGTTAGTTATTTCCATAACTAATTGTAATTATGTCATAACTAATCAATCAAATTTTGGTTTAAGGGCCCACTACGTGATCTGATCCGACGTGTCTGTCAACCTTCTTTGTTGTAAATGATCTACAAACTGATTGACATCATTATCTTATTATAGTGACGTAACTAATAACTTTACTCATTTCCATAAGACACGCTATATTGGTCGGTACATTTGCTCGTCTTACTTGATGATTGTAATTTCCTTATTTATTGTACTAATCTAATTGTTTTTATGTTTAGAAACAGAAAGTTTAAAGCAAAATTGGTCTTGTTCTAACTATAGCTTTCCTATAGACTTTGTGCTCGCCAATATTGCGTTTACTGTTCTAGAATTACATCTGTAGGACAAATTAAATCCTACAATCACTTCAATTAGTATTATGTCTACTAAAGGATATATGACAAAGAAGGAACATTGTTCTACATTATAAATTGTCCGAACTACGAAGAACACTAAATTAGACAGAGTGAACGTCCTCTTCAGTTTCACCTAAATGAACATAAGTTAACAGTCAAATGCCATAACATTTCTTCTCTTATATCAATCAATACATGCGGATAACTGTGGACATTCATTCGATTGGAAATACTGGATAGAAGGACTACGTAGAACATTAGTAAATTTTTCAAAAATTCACAATCAGATCAGTTGGCAATCTACAACCACATCGACTTTGACCCAATTTATCAACCAACAAGCATAGAATCGAGAACGAAATCAAAGGGGGATACAATCAAAATAAAAAGATAGATGTTAACGGTCAATAACAGCCAATCAAGATCAAGGAAAAATCCGCATGCTTCATTTCTACCTGAACCTTGTCCTGATGATGCAGTTCAGAGGGACAATAAGAACTTCACAACCAAAACATCCAGCTCAGAGTACGAAACTCCAAATTTCCTCCAGCATCTCAAACTGACCCTATGAAGTCCATAAAAATATCAACGGAATAATATAAACGCTTGTAAATACCTTCATAGCCGTTGATAAACTGTTATGTGACTACTGATGGAGGGATCCAGTGAAATCTTACATATGAGTAGTTTGAGAACGAATAAACATTTTAAATACTCAATTAAAATGAAAGTCACAGGCTATAAAGGTACTTATGAATCTGATTTTATGCTGAATTTAGTTAATTTGTTTTAACAGTAAGTATTTTTTTTTGAAAATTAACAGTTAACAATTTCAAATAAACATTACGACTGCTGTAATCAAATAAGTTATGACTACTAGGCAATATTAAAAGTGAAAAGGTTTAAACATCTAAATTAACATTCAACCCATAGATACCACGAGCATCGTCAAAAAAAACGTGAATCTATTTTTGAATTCTTCGTAGCAGTTTAGAATCTCATTGACTAATTCAAATGAAAACTAGTCTATGATATTTGGTAATTAGGCTAAGATTATGCGGAATGATCATTCTTTTCGTTTTATTTTTAGGGTGAGCTTTGTATCACAAAGCGTAATTTTCACTAGAATTTTTATTTCAAGCCGTAACTTATATTATATTTGCATTTTTCATTCGGAATGTTGACCTGAACTATACTGATACTTTCAAAGTAGATTGTTTTGGATAACTCGAGTTGTTTGACATGAAATCTACAGTGAAACTTTCACTCTGATGCGTAGCACTCATCGACTAAGTGGGTAGACAAACAGATACCAATTCTAGGGATGAAGCATATTTACTGAATATTTAGTCATTGTTTTCTAAGACTAATGTGTATTTTTACAAGATTTATTTTTGAATTTAAATAATTATTTGTGACCTATGAATTTGATTTTTATGATTCGAATGATTCCGTTTCTTTGAACCATATTCTAAATTATTGATTTTTTCCGCTAATAATGACTGGTATCAAGTTATTTTCATCTTTTCATACAATTTTTGGCCGAAAGATGTTTGTTACAAGCACTGAATTGATCATTTCAACTTATTGACTGTATTCTATTTGGCTTTTAAGACAAAATTAACTACATTAGGGAAAAATTTTAACAAACGTTTAATACTTAAATTTGAACAGTGTTGTATACAGTATGTTGAATATCAAATGAAAAGTAAACTATTTTTTACAGGTTGAAAATGAACATATAATACAATAGTTAACATGAATTCAGTTTAAAATTCGAATAACTTATTAGAAACCATACATTTAGAAAACTAGTTTTTTAATGGGGGTGAGATTATTTTATTCTGAATAACTAACTTACTGCAAACGGGTAGTTGATATCATTCGTTACTGGTGTCAAATTTCGATTTTAAGTTCATATGGTAGATTAATTATTTTTTCTTAAAACTAATTTTAAACATTGAAGCTTAACATGTTGAATTAGTTATTTTGTTATAGAAACATTCTATTCAGATAAATGCTTGTTATCATTGAAACTCTTGATAAATTATTGATTATTGAAATCAATATCATATTGGTCAAATTTAGCTAAAAAAAGGTAATATGACATAATAGTAGATAGCAAATGAATTTCATTGATCTACATCTTCATGTATTTTAATCTGTTTATGGTCAAAGTTAAATAGGTAGGGTAATTTTGAACAGTTTTTGTTTATATGAACTCATTACCTGAAAACGAAGTCATGGTTATTGATTTTTTTGATACTAAAATGATAGGACCTTTTCTAGCATGGCATATTTATACTCGCAATGAGTTTACACAGAAATTGTAACAAATTAATATAATATTTAAATGTAACACGCAAAAAAGTATACACTTACCAGGTACGACTGGTGGGTAATAACAAAAACCTAGAAACTACAATAATAATAATAATTGATTTACAGTTTAGTTATATTTTTGTCAAGTGATAGTGCAGATTTCATTAAGGTTATTAGTGTACATAAAGTGTTTAACAAATAAAAATAAAATCTGTTCATTTTCATGTTGTGTATATGGTTTTATTTTTTGATCAGGATCTAAATACAACAGTGATTTTATTCATGGGCTGATCAGTTGACCTTAAGATTACATTTCCCACCAGGAAAATCCTTGATTGTCATTGGTTGATGTGTGATTTTAGTACGCTATTTTTGTGGCTCTCCCAAGGACGTTTCTATGATGTATAAATAAACGCGATTTGTTTGCTTGAGATCATTATATTTTCTGTGTGCTTGTAGAATATACTTCTTATGACATATCAAGACGTCTTCTTCAGTTAGGCGGGGCAACAGATTATAATAGCCTACCATTGTCACTGGGTCATTGTCTCGTTTTTGTTTATCGACTAAGGTGAACTCGTAATAGTTCAAACATATACATTGACGAGCATAACACGGGTACGAGTGAATATACTTTTTATGTTTTCTACTTGATGTAACGCCAAACCACTGTACTAATGACACACCGAACGTTAGACCCCTCCGTTCAAAAATAAGAAGACGGAAGACGTTGGAGAACGCTTATTATCAGAATCAAAAATATATAATCAAACATACGTATTTATACAATTATATAAATGTCGTTTAAATATTTTGAACATTAATCAAATAGTTCATCATGAACATTAATCATATAGTTAATCATGAACATTATTCATATAGTTCATCATGAACATTAGTCAAATAGTTCATCAACCCACAATGTGAGTGGCTTTCTTCTCGATTGGCTATCCCAACAATACTCTGTAGTGATCTTATGTCAATCACCTTGTGAAATGGATACTGAATTCGATTAACAAGTTCGGTGAACGTTAAGTAAAAGAAATAGAAGTCCACTTGACGTACAATAGTTTTCATAGGCGGTAATAGTGCAATTATTTAACAGTCTTAAAATGTTAATCCAGTTATGAAAATTATAATAATAGGATCCATTTGTCAGCTTATAGATCAGCTGATCAGTACTAGTTTCTTGCTGTCTATCAATCACTCATTGATAGGTTTGATTCCTAGTGCAATAGTGGGTGTATACTGAAGAGGAGTACAAAATTCGGACGAAACATATACTTACTGAGCCTAAGTTTTCAATGGTGCTTAAGTTGAAGTCAATCAGTGTGACGTAAACTACAAATCATGTTTATGATGAATCTAACCTCAAAGCATGAAGTGAATTCTTTTAATCATATAGTCGTATTTTTCTCCCAGAAACAAGCTTCACTCCGTAACAAGTTCTTGAGAATAAAGGTAAAATTTTGACTAATGTGTCGAATCTTATATTATGTTATGCTAAAGATCCTGAAAATCCTTTGTATTAGCAGAAAATTAATTCATATTATATGACAAACTGAAATAAAAATGCTTCTTTTTAACTAAACTAACTTTGTACAATAAATACTTGTACCATACCACATCAACACAGAGAAGCATTTGTCAGCTCAAATCCCATAGTGGTGGAGATAGTAGAAGAATCAGCAGTAATGAAGAATATTAGGAATCGAAGATATTATTCAAGAAGTATAATTCAGTGAGATAATGGTGATGAGGAGTTCAGAAGATTAGAATTAGAGAGAACACGAAGAGTGGATGCACTTGCGCCATTGTAAACGATTTTGAACCATGTCGTTTAAGGTCTCTAACCATTGCTGACTTTCGTCTTGCTGACCACAACCACGTAGCCCACATCTACCAACATGACTCGGTCCACTTGTCAGTGACTGCGTGGATTTCTGCCACGTTTTGGTTTTGCCGCCCCTAGCTTTCTTCCAACCTACTCTTACACCACAAAACATAGCTCATCGAGGCAGTCGGTGGTTGGGCAATCGTAACACATGTCCCAACCATCTCAACTGATGAAGTTTCAATACTTCATCAGTTGGTCTGCCATTCCTTACCTAGTAATCGATTCATAATTATATCATTACTTACTCGGTTGTCCCAGGATATACGAGCAATGCTTCGAAGACATCTATAATTAACATACTGTTGACTAATTTATATCTGTCAGGTAATATCAGATTTCATGATTGATTTTTATTCATGTCCCGGTAGCATATTGCCCCTGATAGCATTATATCACTGAATACTTGTTTTCGTGAGCAAGAAAAATGAACAGTTGCTTTCCACTTGTATGAATCCTGTCATCAGTAAATACAGCCAAACATGCTTCACGTATTACAATTATTACTTCCCAACTCATGTAGTGAATCACAAGCAAATGGTTCAGTTCACTACCTACAGCATTCACCATTCACTGGCACTTATTGCAGTTTCTACTCTAACTGATTTTAGCATTTCTATGTGAAACAATGATTTTCATTGGTTAAATGTCAGTTCACAACTGATAAGTTGTAAATAATTCATAGATGGTCAAGATGAAGAACTCTAGATTTGTAACTAGAATGTTTATTTTAATCATGCAGTCCAATGGTATGACTAAAGCCGAACCGACTTAAACTGACTTCAATAACCCAAAATCTTGTCTCTTCATCAAGATGGATTTGTGTCAAACGTTTAATTGTGACAGCACTGATTAGCAATTTTCGTCTAAGTTTCCTATGAAAACAAATCAGTTTTCTTTACTTCCCACATTTCCAGCGGTTGTCTGACTGTCCTACGTTTTTGACTAATCTTTGTTTGGCCTAACATATTTTTTTAGGTGTGATTACTTAAGAGATACTGAAATATTCCATGAGAATACTTTATTCACGTATATGTTGTAAGTTATTTGGAATCCTTATTGCTTTCTTCACAATTCGGTTACCAAATTGTCTCACATATAAGTTTATACAATCTGAAGTGTTGGAGATTTATTCTGTTAATAGACACAAAGGAGTAATACATATTTATTAGGAAATGAATCTGTACTTCATTTGTTCTTCATTCTTTTGTAATGAGCGATTAAGCCTACACTACCAGCCAAAATTGTTAAAAGTTAAGCGTTACAATATTCAATCGCATACTTATACATTTAATTCGATTTCCTTTATGTGAGAAAAACCACAAATCGGGGTAGAGTTCAAACTAACAGTCAAAAACGGCCACAAAAGTAACCATATGAATTACTTGACTATCGTTCTAGCAGATATTGGAAAACTGTTCAGTTTTTTCATCAGTCAGTTAATGGATAACTAGATTGTTGGAAGAGATTACTGATTATTAGTTGATCTCGTTAAGACAATCTTAAATTGAGACTTGTTCAGTTTCTCGAGAGCTAACTAATCATACATGCAACAGTTCAAGGATCACTAATGAATATTCGCTATCCTATCGTCATACATATTTTTTTTAAATGTCACAAAAATAGCATTTACCTTTTTCTAATCAAACAATATTATCACCTAATTAATGAACACATTTCAAACTATAGAAAAAGGAATGACATTTTAACTAGAAGCAATACTGAACTGACTTACAGCACACCACTTGTTTGGTACTATTTGACGGAATACACCAAAGAACTGTTTAGACAGTTCAGTTCCTAACATTTTACACTGAAAACAAGAACATGTAAATGAGGAGGAAAAACACAATACGAATTTTTTTTTTATTCAACTGTAAAGAAAAAAGTACAAGTTAAAGATTGTTTTTAATCAAAATTCACTTTACTAACACCACTATGAAATTATTTAATCTTAGGTAGAAACTTCTCGTGAATATTTATCTATAGTACTTAAGGGAAAAAGTAATGTTATATATATAATGCTAAACGTAATCGGTCTCTCTAAAATATTTCTCATAATTAAGATTAAGTTTTAGTGTGAATTAGAGTTTACGAGAATCACAAATTTTTACCATGCCTGATATTGTTGACAATATCTTTGAATCTGATTGGCACAAACTTCTGTTGAACAAAGATGGGTACTACTATAGAAAAAAGAAAATTCTTACTCAACTATGATTCTCATGAAGTATAATCTCATCTTGAATAATTCTAATGATCGCTCATTTAGTTTATTTTCTGGAGACATGTGATCATTTATGTGAGTAAGCAATGAGTATATTTAGTCAGAGAGTTTACTGAAAATTAAAACATTTCAACATCTTATCCTAACCACATTTTAGAAACATTTAGGTAAAGTATTGTATGCACACGTAAAATACTGATTGATCACAATGAAGGTTAAATGTTCAATATAATATTTTATTCCATTCTCCAAAATCGTTAACTGAATAAATCAATAAAGCGTGAACATCATGTGATATTGTCAACAAGTAGTTGGATTTTATCAGTTTCAACTTCTCACTATGACTTCAAGCGTTAATTATCAACATAAAGAGAGATTATGGGGATTAGTTCAGTGGGAAAATAATTTTTGTCATAAGTTTAAAACAGTTGAGGGACAACGGGAAATCTTGTTCTCACTAGCAGCTGAGCTGTAGACGGATTCTCGTAAATAAGCTATCACTGGTCAAGTTTTACCAAAACAGAATTGAAACAATAACCTACAGATAATATTTGATTATTTTTACTTTATATCATGAATTTCTCGATTTCGAAAACATGGTTATCAAATAATTGATTGAGAGATATCATACTTGCTAAGGGAAATAAAGTTTCCAAGTTCAACTTTGTCTAATTAATCAATAAAACTAAAAACTATGCTTGTTTTTACTTCGATTTTTAGACTTCTGAATACTGAACATTATTAACAATCCATAAGTTCAAGAAAATGAGGAAGCTGTGATAGTTGTATATCAATTACTTTTCTAGAAACTCATTTTCTGAAAATGATTGATAGGATGACAACTTCCAAATGAGTTTGATAATTTTCTCAGTATTGACTTGATATATGGCTTTGAAACCTCTGCAGTACACATCATCGAGCTGGAAGGTGAAGCACCGATGTGGTATGATGTAGATGGTTAGCTACAAGGACGTAGCTTGCTGCTTCGCAAACGCGATCATAAGTGATTGCAACGATAAGTGTGACAGTGAGCAAATGCATTTTACCAGTTAGTGATAATGGATGCATTAATAAACGCTATTCCAGAAGCTCATGGACTTCTGTCTCGATAAAAATCTAATCGTATTGGAAGTTTTCTAGCCTTTTTTCGTTATAGCATGTTGTCTGATATCACAATCAGAGAGCCTGGATATTAACCGTGGTGTAGGAACAAACTTTTCGGGTGCCGAACATCGGTTGTGAAGAAATCACAGTGTATGGAATGTTATGCAGCGAGTAAGCAGAAAATTGGATTTTATAATTATTTATTTAAAATGAGTCAATCAGTACGCTTCAACTTTTTCTAAAAGTTATGCATACAAGGGATGTTGAACGGTAAGAAAGTATTTAGTCTATCAAAACCCTTTTAAGATTTTATTTGTTTAAGCTTATGTAAATTTATCTATTAGTCTGAACTAACCTAAAAATTTACTTCAATAAATTTACCGACATTTTCGTCTTTTATGTTTCAGTTTCGGCATGCATCACCAAGAGGACGTGAAATGCCTATCTTTAGAAGCACAGGACATAATGATTGAACATTCTTTCATTTTATTGAAGCCGACAGAAATTATCGGAAAATGAAGATTGAATATATATGTTAACTAACTTTTAATTATTAAGTATATTTTACTGGTTTCATTCAAACACTTCTAATTAAAGTGCGTATAGTTGTGACAACGTGATCACAACGAAATCTAAACAAGGTTCTTATAAGTTTCCCTTAACTGTTGGTAAAATTAACTTAAATCTTCAGAAGTCCTCAATTTGTATTTGACGTTTTCACTTTTAATCAAAGCACTTTGAACAGGTAACAAGACTATCACTCTAAGGTGTTAGGTCAGTTAATTTTAGAACGAAATTAACAATGTTTGCATTTTGATGGATATTGCTCAACGACATAGTAACTTAGCCTATGGGTTACTTATGAATTTATAATATCACATAATGGTTTCTAGATGCAGGAATTCTATTCATGATCAGAACACTATTCACTTTACAATTATTGTCATACTTGCATTTAGGTAGTTAAATTGTGTTAAGCAAATACAGATGATTCACAGTGACCATTCATCATCGCATTACATGATAAACTAAAATTAGATTATTTCGTCAGTTACTTACGTGAATGTTAAGCATTTTCGAAATTCAAATAATATTAGGGATTGTAATTAAACAGTTCCAAATTTTACACTAGATGAATGTACCTATCTATTTCTTAAAACTTCTAATAATAACAACAATCAAAATTATATTAACAATGATCACAGTCGTGTTAAGTTGACAAAATATCGTAACAGTGCTCACTAGTGACTAGCTTCATGAGAAAATTCTCCGAGTTCTAGTCGAGAAGACGTGATCAAAGCAGTTCAACCCTGTCGTGTGTAGTCAGTAACTACCAAAGACAAATGGGTGAGGTCGCGCAAAATCTGTAGATCAATCAGAGTTAGACATTAACACCGTTGGATGCCGGCCCAGTGGTCCGATGGTTAGGCGTTCGCGCACAATACCGAAGGTCTCGGGTTCGAATCCTGTGAGGTGCAGGAGTCGTGGATGCGCACTGCTGATGAGTCCCATACCAGGACGAAACGATTGTCCAGTGCTTCCAGGTTTCTAATAGAGGTCTAACAATGATTGATTGATGATTTCAAATGTGTAAAAACACAAACCTTCAAAACTCTGCCCAAAAAGAGATTAAGTTGACCTACTGAATAAGTTTAATCTCACCTTTACATTTCACTGCAACTTGATAAGGTGAATGCAACATTTCAATTTACATAATCCTAATATAAATTCTCATCCGCTGTGAAGAATTATTTTACAATATGTCCTATTCAAACTATATTCATTCCTCGTGTGACATGATTTCTATAATTCATTAAAAACATTTACCCAAGTATGGAGAACCTCATGACTGAGTGATTATTAATGTGTGATCATTACAAAACATGGCTGATCCTGTTTAAATTCAATCTTTAGTCAGAAACATTCATACAACGTATTTTTCATCACCAAACCCTATTATATGTATTCGTATAAATGTATGTCAATATTTAGAGTATCACTTGATGCATCAATAAAACCCTGAACTATTTTATGGTTATATTCCCAGAGCCAATGGCTAAGTTAACTGGAATTAGGCTCAACAAATTACTAACTCCAGCAAGAATCGAAAATAAACTCTTTCATTACAATTTATATTTAGTTAATTAACAAGTACAATTCAGTAAATCGATCTAACTACAGTTTTATTATAATTACATAGCATATGATAGTCGATTACCAGCTTTTTTTTAGATAGAAGATTTACTTTGTCATCTATTCCCAATCTTTTTATTTAATCATAACCAGGTGAATACAAAAACTGATTGCATTTCAGTTTCATTGTACCTTCTACTTACTGTTAAACAGTAGTATATGAATTATCTAATGGTTTATTTTGATTGTACTAACATTTGGTTAGAAACTTTGTGAAAATAAATTCAGTAAAATATAACAATTTCTAAAATAGAATAAACCTTAATTTGTATATAACTTATAATTACTATTGTCAACAACATTCCTTTAAAAAATTTACTGACATAGTCGACTGAATGTGTCTGTTCTTGAAAATTTATCACTGAATGGTCTACTCAACGATAAATATTAGTTGAAAAACCAAAGAATTCCTTTTATTAACTTGGATATTTTAAAAAATATATATATTAACCGTCATGAAATTAATTATTTGTAAGTATGTCATACGTCATTAATACGTTTAAATATGAAAATTACATCTTATTTACAAAATTATATTTGTTACCTATGTACTACCGCTCACTAAGTTCACAAGTGAGTCTAATTAATTTTTTTATCTAATTTCAAAGATCAACCAATCAAATAAGCTTAATTCTAGGCGGTAAAAAAAACTAAGAATTTAAACAAAACTAGGAATGCAGTAGACAATTGTTAATCTTATGTAAAATAACTGTATCTTGATATTTGAACTCTGTTCATGAAATGAATATTGTCGATGGTTAGTTTACTTCTTTACGCATGTTACGCTCAATGGAACAGAAACCGCCGACCAGTATTCTCGATTATAAATAACATTAAATCCACTGTGGTTTATATTTAGTATTGTCACTCTCCTATGTACTGATGAAAATGTTTTCCCACCTTTTCCCTTACACTACTCAAATTTGTTGTCCAATAATATTGATAGTTATAAAAGTAATCTTACCTGCTATTTTGAGTTCAGTCGTCATATAAAAGCCAATAAATTATGTTTTGACAAACAGTTTTTTTCAGCTCGAGTAATCAGTCTTTGGGCTACTGCAAATTCGGGTTAGAAAATGATTACAGTCACAGGAGATTTATTTCTAAGCTTGTTGTCTCTAGTTACATTTATGTCATTAAAAGCACTCAAGAATACAGTGAGAGAATTCTATCAGACAATGTTTTGTCGTTTTGTCTTCGTGATTCTCAGTTCTATTGGAATTAGAAATCATAAGTAAGATTTGTATGTTGAACAAGTGATTGGAAAGCTTCCAGGAGAAACCTTAATCTTTAAAAGGACTGTATCTAACAAAATGATTGTCCACCTCTGTTAGAGTGAAGCATCATTGACAACAAAGAGAATGATGATTATTTCATGTGCTTTAAAACTGATACTATTAAATGTACCGAAATCACAAATATTCCTTACTGAGGAATAAAAAAAATAGTTTCTTACTGTACACTAACTGATTATCTATTAGTCATATTTTATCTCTATCGTATTATAATTAATCCAATGTTAGTATAGTTCAGACTGTCCCTCATCTTAAAGAAATATTCATTTGTATCATATTTAATAAACTATCAGAATAATGATTAATTAATATTAGCTGATAGATGGAATAGTCTGATAGATCCTCATGTATATATTTGAATTATGAATTATCAAAGTCATAAAAAAATACAGTTCATGAATGATCGGTTAAACGTTTCGATGAACTTACTCCGTAACAGATATTCAGTTTAGAGTAATCAACATTAGGCTCTATTTAGGTCATTTCACATTTTATACTCTCCAATGTTTCCAACTTCTACACTACTGATATACTGGTTGATATCTAACTTTTTATTTTCATTATAGAGTTGTGAAGATTAGTGAGTTTCATTTGAGTCATGAATCGATCAATGTTAGATTAACACTAGAAACCTGTGCTCATTAGTGCTAGCTTCTTGAGGAAATTCTCGGAGTTCTAGTGGTAGGCCGTAACCAGTGGGGCTCAGCCCCGTAGGTTGTAGGCAGTTATCCACCAACAACAATCAATGATGGTCGAGCAACATCGTAGTTTAAGTGAAGTCAGACACTGACACAGTTGGATGACGACTCAGTGATCTAGAGGTTTAGTGTTCACACGCGAGACCGAAGGTCCTGACTCCGATTCCCGCTAGCGGAGCTATGGATACACACTGTTGATGAGTCTCACGCTACGACGAAACGGCCATCCAATGCTTCTAGGTTTTTGATGGTGGTCAAGCAATGATCGATTAATGACTTTAATGTAACTTTTTATTACATTCTTCGTATAACTAAAAATCATACTAACACATCGATTTCAGTTTTTTATGTATTGATGTGAAGTAGCTCAAATAGAGTGATTTATTAAGTACCAGTGAAACCGAATCCAGAAAATTTCCGAAAAAGTGATTTTAAGGTCAAAAAAATCATAAATATTCCGTACCCAATTAAAACCAAATGATTCCTATGAAATTCAACTAGTGAAATCTCACGCAGAATTGACTTAAAACCAGTGAAACAAGTATTTTAGTAACACAGTCACAGTCAGCTTAATGTAAGCCGTCGATGGTTACTTTCATTCAGCTGACAGTTCTTTAACAAAACAATGGTATTGGGTTCGCTGAACTGTTATAACAAAATCAAGATTATCCACAGTGAATGTTTATCACACGATATAGTAAACCAAATTTATACGATTTCGTCAAATACCGACATTGATATTCAGTTTAATGTTTCCGAAAAAAATTTGGGTTAGTGATTAAATAGTTCAATCTTCACATTAAATTATTTTTTACGATTTGAAATAGTAACAATCATAATAACAATAACAATAATCAAACTATACATCATCCTAGCACTCGTCATAATATTAATGATAATAATGTTTATGTTAACTTAACTACCGACAACGATGAGCTACTATCGTTTACGAATTATATTTCATTAGTAACATAAAATGGTTGGAGCTGATCTGCATAATAATTTGTGATTTTCTTCGCTATAATGTATGTATTCGGACATTCCACGTATCTAAAAGAATGGTGGCTTTGGTTTTCAGAAGGGGCATCGGCCTCGTGACTTCCGAAGGAACTCAGCTTTCGTCATGAGACGTCATAACTCTTCTGGAAGAAGACCTTCTAACTCCCAGGGCAGAGTTAAAATGGTTTGACTTGATTTTTCTGGTTAGCCTTTTTAGGGAGTTGGTTTTCTTATGCGACTGGGCCGCCAACCCCAATCCCAATCCTCATTCTTTATCCGGGCTTGGGGCCGGCAGTAGTCCCAGAGGGGCTCGCGGTGGAGTTCACTTATAATTAGTAATGTTCATAATCAAGATGAGCTATTTCAGATTGTTACGGAAAGAATCATGAGCACCATCTTACCTTAATCTTCTACCATAGATTTGTGCAATATTTCATTTTATGCGGTTGAAATCTTTATGTTTATTGATTGGTAAGAATTATTTTATTTTACATACTATTCGAATTGAATTAATTACTTGTGTGACATGAATTTCCTATGTCATTTAAAACATTTATAAATTATATGTTAAACTTCTTAAAGCGTATAAGTAAATCCTTAATGGTTAATGGTTATCTTTCGCGTCTAATTGCTAAGTTAGATTAACAAAAAGTTCAACAGATTAGTGTCGATGAATCCCATACTAGGACAAAACGACAGTCTAGTACTCTCAGGTTTTTAATGATGGTCTCCTATTGATGGACTGATGACTCCAAATATTTAATGATTTCTGCCAGAATTGAGACTAAACTCTCCAATCCCACTTCATACTAAGTAGATAAACAAATGCAATTCAGTGAATTGATTCAGTAACAATTTTATTCAGCATTGAAATCATGAACCAATTATTGTTGGATCACCATTAGAAACTTGGGAGCACTAGACAGACGTTTAGTCCTAGTATAGGACTGTTGAAGAGTCCCATTGCATTACAATTCCACCATGAATTTTACTATATATATTTACATGTGTTCATTAGAACTGGCTTTCTTGTTTTGCTTAATTTCCATGTGATCAGAGTACTATCTTTCTTAAGTGATGTTAAGCAACCGTTTTGGCGTTTAGCAAGCGGCGATTTCGCAGTATAACTACCATTCTTATATTCTTGGCAGTTGTCAACGAACATAGTTTTTTAAAACTTGTTAGTTCCTCTAGTTAGATCGAGTTTTTTTTTTATATTTTCACGTATTAGAGTAAGGTGTGTTGAAGATCTAATTGAAAACAAAATTATTCACTTTATTGTTTTGTTTTAATTTATGCATAGAATTGAAAATATGTTGAAAAAAATTGATCAATACTTACAGAGGTATTAAATGGACCTGTTTTCATACAAGATGTTTCAATTGTTTCACTAATCGATTTGTTTGTGGATGGACTTAAAATCATACTTAACGCTTTTCCAGTTCCACTTTTACAATTAATACACTCTGAAATCGATGGAGAAAATCATTAACATATAAATGTATAATATGATATTATGTTTTATTTTATTGTTATTCTTACAACTACCAAGAATGAATATCCGCATTTTGGTGAGTTTCAAAGTTTTTGAATTAGTTTCACTTACTAATGAGTAGGTTTTCTTTTAGAATTAAATCTATTGATGAAGATGATTAGATTTAACTGATACAGACTAGATATGTTAACAATAATATTTTTCGAGTATAGAAATATTAGTTAGAAGATTTAATTGATCTGAAAAATGTGATGTATTTGCTCTATACATGCCGAACAATCTTACTTACTTAATTACTTACGCCTGTTACCCCCAATGGAGCATAGGTCGCCCACCAAGTTTCGCCAACCAACTCTGTCCTGGGCTTCCCTTTCCAGTTTTGTCCAGTTTTTGTACATTTTTCTCATATCTTTCTCTATTTCTCGGCGTAATGTGTTCCTTGGCCTTCCTCTTTTCCTTTCGCCTTGACGGTTCCATGAGAGGGCTTGTCTTGTGAAGCAGTTGGGTGCTTCTCGAAGTGTGTGCCCTATCCACTTCCACCGCTTCTTCGTGATTTTCTCCTCCACTGGAATCTGGTTTGTTCTCTCTCACAGTACGTTGTTACTGATAGTGTCCGTCCAACGAATCCGAAGTTTTGCGAAGACAACTGTTCATAAGTACTTGTATCTTGTGGATGATGGCTTTGGTAGTTCTCCAAGTTTCCGCTCCATACAATTGTACTGAAAATTCTGATTTTGGTGTTTGTTGGAAGTTTTTTTTAGTTCCGGATGTTGTTCAACTGTAGAAATCCAGTCCTTGCTTTGCCAATCCGCGCCCTCACATCTGCATCAGATCCACCTTGATTATCAATAACGCTGCCCAGATATGTAAAGGTTTTTACGTCCCCCTAAGGCATCTTCAACAAATGTGACTTGGTTGGTGCATGTTGTGTTGCGTCGGAGTATTTTGGTTTTTCCTTTATCTATGTTGAGACCTACTGCTGCAGAGACCGCCGCTACACTGGTCGTCTTCTCTTGCATTTGTTGTTGCATGTGCGATAGAAGAGCCAGGTCATCTGCAAAGTCCAGATCGTCCAGCTGCGTCCTAGCTGTCCACTGAATACCGTGCTTCCCTCCAGATGCTGACGTCTTCATAATCCAGTCGATCACCAGGAGAAAGAGAAAGGGTGGTCACATATATTTACTTGTCAAGGCATTTTATATGAAGATTAATAAAAGGTCAATTAAATAAAAGTTCAAATAGACATAAGGTGATAATTGTAAATGTGAAGGAGAGAGAAAATTAACGTAATATAGAAAGAATAAGAAAGGGTAGGAAATTGTCACATTACCCTAGGCTTAAAGATTATCAGGGTAAATTCAAGGTTGTAACAACTGTTTTGGTACACATAACGGCGGTTTGAATTTACGAATTGCCAAGGCCTCCATGAACCTCAAAATTCGTCCTTCAGCATTTCTATACAATGTTTTGAAAGCGCAAATACATCACATTTTTCAGATCAATTACGTCTTCTCACTGTTCTATCAAAATTAATAAAAGGGACTAATTGTTTTAAATAGAAATAGCAGCTAAGTTTGTTTCATCATTGTTATAGAATAAGTAAAGTTTTGAACAAAAAGTGAATGCTTTTTGAATCAGTTTACATTTGTGAATAAGCATTTTAAGGCATGAACTTTAAGAATTCAAAATTAAATCTTAATTCACATGAGTAAATTTAGAGTATTACAATGAGTAAATTAATTTGTGAGTAGAATACATTAGTCAGAAAAATTGTACACAGTTGTACCTAACTGTTATTACTGCTAACATTGATTATTATGTATATAATTATTTACTCCTGGCGCTTAAATTATTCGAGTAACTTACCACATCCTATATAAAACTTATCATTTTTAAAAACAAAACTACCAAAAGAACAATTTATTCTTGACTTGATACTAAAATAAACGAAACTATGAAATATTGGCACAACAGTTATCTTTTGCAGTTCAGTTCGTTTCTCGGATGTTTTTCACTACTCCACTGTTAATGTTTAGTAGAAATTGTTGTACTGTTACCAGTTGGGTTGATTCCCATCAAGACTATATATATATATATATATATATATATATATATATATATATATATATATATATATATATATATATATATATAGTCATGATGAAATTGACCTTACTTACAGGAAGAATCATTTCATTCCATATTGCAGGTATGTCTTTTTGACGTTTATCAACTGACATTGAATGTAGGTCTCAAAGTTTCCTGTCATAACGTAACATCGTGTAACATTATTACTAAGTAAATACTCATTTTTAATGGGTACTTATAACTTCTTTGGAATTCAGAGATGATTGTTTTCTCACGTCTACATTTACTCTATTGGATAGATTTTGGTCTATGTGATTGACAGTGTGATAAAATTTAGAAGGTCATTAATATACTCTGTTCAGTTTGAATTTGACATGTGGTGTATTGAAAAATAACCCATCCTAAATGATTTCGATCGCCCGACCGTAGCCGTTACCTTGACGCGGTGGTCGTGATGACCCAATCGAGCTATATTGGCTGGAATATATGTTCCTGAAGGTTCTACCATACCAGGCAGGTCGATTGGAGAACGATGAGACTAAAAACAGCTACTCAAGATCTGAGGGCGAAGTTGTACTGGTGACTGTATAGAGATGTGACAGCAGTACGGTGTTTCCTTCGGACAACCAGCATCTGCAGAGATGTTGCCTTCTCACAAGGAAGGCAGGGTTAGAAAAGGTTGGCCCTAAAAATACCACACCTCACCCTACCTCACGGATTTCCGTCTCCGATGGTAAGGGCTGCCCAATGAAGGCTTCTAGAAGAGCGGAGCTAATCCTCAAAAAACCTTTAACAAAAAGGCCGTGCGTGATCAGCCTCAAGCAGTTGTCCGTTTGGCTCTGCGGTCACGTTCCCAGGTAGTTAAGACGAACCCTAATCTACCTTCCGTTTCAGGTTCCTTAAGAAACACCCTTTCACGGTGTGGGCAGCTGGGAAGTGACAACCGCCCTCATACCCGTAACAGCACACTATTTCGATCTAATTAGACTGATAGTAAGAGAGGAAACAGATTATACGCCATATATTGGAAAGTCAAAACAAATGTGCATGTACGAACATATTTGTATAAATGTACATTTTTTCATTAACTGAAAAGAAACATAGCAATGCTATATTCACTGTTTTAATGATACCATTACTTACGAAAAATATTCGATTGTCTTCTTCTCTGAGTCTGTTTTTCAAGATAAAAAAAATTTATACAGTATGAATTAAACAAGATGAAAAATGATAGGACATAACTTCGAATTAACATTAGCAAATCTAATCTGATATTTGTTCATTCTTAAACCATCTCATATGAAATATACCTTGAAACCTGTTATCTTTAACAATTTTCTAAAATACTTTTTCTTATATTCTATGTTTGCAAACAATTATTAGAAAGCATCAAATTAGATAACAATTATGAACTAATAATCAGTTTATATGATATATCCCAATTATTTTGAAATTAAAAAAAAAGACAATAAGTTCGTCGTTCAAGTAAGTATGACAAGTATAATTATGGAAATCGATTCGTTTCATAACAGATAATCTGACCAAAAATAAGCATATAACATGTAAAGCGCTTGAATTCTTCATTTAAACATAAACATATCATAATGTAAGCATAAAACAATCGTAACATGATAGTATAAGTTCTCCTATAGTAACTTTTAAGAGTTAAATGCACTAAGTTGCATGCCATTTTTCGGATTTGCGATGTGACGTCGTTTATTCATTAACCAACCATAAATTGATTCATAAACTGAACTTTAAACCGAGTTATTTGTTTTAATACAGTATTAGATCAGAAATTATCTCCTTAATTCAGGAAGATCTTCACGATTTACCTAAAGAAGGTAATGTTGGGGATGTTAGATCCCCAGAACTCGCTTGATAAATGCCTTATTCTGGATTTCACGTTTGCCACCATGGGTTGATCAGTTAACCTTGAGATTTCATTTCCCACCAGGAAAATCCTTGGCCGTGATTGGCTGCTGTGTATTTTAGTGTGCTATTTTTGTGACTGTCCTAAGGACGTTTCTATGATGTATAAATAAACGAGAGTTGTGTGCTTGCATTGCATTGTGCTTGCTGGGTGCTTGTAGAATATACTTTGTACGCTTATCAAGACTTCTATTTGCCGTTTTCGGATCAAGGCAGTCCACCTGGACGCTGGTTCATTGTCTCGTACGCATTATCGACCAAGCGATACCCGTAATAGCTTCAAGCGTACCTAGTGACGAACCTAACAGGTAATAATCTTTCAACCGATTTCATATATAACACAAATTATAGATAACACAACCTCTTAACTAATCAACTATAAAATTTGCCTTTTTATCTTACTTACTTTATAACGTTGTAGTTGTGGCATAGAATCTTCTACTACACTATTCACATATAATGCTAAAATTGTGAAATAAAACAACGTAAGATTGATTGAACAAACTTTATGAATTGATTTGATTACTTACTCAATGAAATAAGTAAACACAATATGTATAATGATTTCATGGTTAGTGTTCAATAGTACTTACTATTCTAATCTAATCAGTCAACTAACTATTTATAAGTTGATCAAGAATTTTTTTCTGTCTCTCTCTCACCACTCCTCATCTCTATTGACTGAATTAAATAAGGAGTCAGTTGTTATCTATCCTAACAGCAGTAATAATGGTATTAAAAAATGACTTATTATTGAATATTATTTGCTCATTTTCAGATACTTATCAATAAAACAAAGAGTAAATATTAATTTAGTCTGTTCGAAGTTCAAATAATTAAGTCAGTTCAAAATAGAACAAACTTTCATAGTAAAATATTGACTAAGTCAATTTTTGTGCGTTAAAGGTTTTTAAAAACAATAAATAGGTGAATATTTGATCCATATACAATTGTTAAGATACCTAAAATCTCACCATTCGCTTTTATACAAGTTTACGTTTAAATACTGGTGAACTTTTTAAACCACTTAATTTAAGTGCCATTTTTATATTCGGACTTATGATTAGGAGTATGTTGTGGTGTGTCTCGTAAATGCTATTTTATGGGTTTTGTTTCTTGTCTCATCAACTGCTAATTGCTTTATCCAGAAGATTGATGGCAATACCAAAGCAAAATTTATCAAATGCTTAAAAGAAACTTGAATTGAAAGGAATCTAGATTTGCAAAGTATTTGCCCTAAGATTACTGATCTGTACTTCAGTCGATTAAGCAGGGAATTGTGATGTTTGTAGGTAACAGCAATAACATTGTACATTTGTATGCGCCCAATCGCAACTACAAAATACAATACTTTACTGCTTTCTCCGTGTTTTTAGTGCTCATCCATTCGGGATCATCAGAGTGAACACTGAACAGTCCTAGGATTTATTGATCGGTGCACCGAAATCAGTCAAACTACTACACTTTCTACAGAGATCTAGCTGATAACTGATTTTCAGCTCTACTACAGTTAACAAATATTTTAATCAACCCTAAGATGAGTGCCAGATGTTCAACAGTATCATCCCTTGTCCATCAGAATTGAAGTGAATCAAATAAGGTGAGTTTCTGATTATTTATTAATTAGACTACATGACTGTTGAGTTATCTTACAGTGGTAAATTTATTTTGTCATAAAAGAAAGATTATTATCAGGGGGATTCATGAAAGAATAAAAGTAACTGCCTAAATAGTGTCTTGAAGTTCCAAAAGTTTCCAATTTTTCATTGACATAGTAGCTAGTAGAAATACTCATTGAGAAATATGAGGATGACACTGTTGATTCATTGAAATCTTGTGAGTCTTGAATGTTTTGCATTACGGTAATGAAGTAAGAAATTATCAATTCATTTTTCTAGTCCTTTAAAATTATGTGGATTTACTAATGCGATGGCACTCTTTAAAGTTCGAACATTTTTTGCTAAACTATTAAACTGAGGATCTCGTAGAGCTGTAAATGGATGACGGCATCCAATATCATTAGGCCAGCTGTTAAACTCCTTCTCTGTGAAATCAGTTCCATTATCACTTACTCATGCATTAGGTACCTCTTCCCCAACAAATACCTTCCTCATTGCTCTTTGAGTAAATTTTATGCTGTAACTGTTTGTAAGTACTACTTCAGGCCATTCGGAATATGAATCAACAATAACTAAAACATGATATGAGTTTATAAATGTCCCAAAGTAATCTGCATGAATAAGTTACCATGGTTCTGAAGATTCAGATGAAGGATTCCATGTAAGCTCATTGTATAACAGTTTATTTAAACGAGCAGAACACTTTATCAGCTTTCGACTTATATCACCATCAATCTAGGTCTGCCAACGAGCAAGTGATCACTTTTTTTGGCTTCCATATGAACAGGATGAAGGTCGTCTGATAATGCAGATCAAAGTGCCTAGCGAATAATTACTCTGTGTTCAGTAATATACCTTCTCTCCTCTCTTAAAATTCAGAAAACTAATGCTTGCACTGAACATTCTAATCTCATTTCACTGAACTTAAAGCAGTTCCAAAATACTCACGAGTATCCTTTGCAAGTTCAACTATTTTAATAGGCAATGGTTGAAGCAACATACAAACACTCGCTATGTGGCCTTTCAAATTATGAATAACGTGATAGGAAGTCTGCATGTAGTATGTTTTTTACCACTCGGTGCTTAGTGGTAAAACCATGGGCAATAATTTCTAAATTCCATCTCTGAACCTTGGCAGCCGACGATCGATCAAGTAACTTAGTTAGGTGGTAAGTAAACTTTGTAACCTAATCACCAATTACATTATGGAGTTTTGCACTAAACGCGTACTAATATAGTGCTTTAACTATCCCATACCTTAGTTGAAGCCTCCTTATAGGTCTGAGAATATCCTTATTCACTCATGCTTATCCATTTCGAAATAATAATAATAATAACACCAGTAATAATAATAATAATAATAGGATTCAAACTCTTAGCAGATTTTCAATCTCTAGCTCAACATTCAAATTTTTTAGGAACCTATGCTGTAACTTGTGAACAGTCTTTGTAAAACTCTGTCACTCTAATTCAGTATTATCATACAAAGCGTTATCTTCAAGCTGAGTTTGCTTTTTATCTCTCCTGCGTTACATTGTATACTGTTATGGCAGTTTTATATTGCAGAATAGTATACCTAAGTAAGTCTAAGGTTCCTGCATACATTTATACTGTTTTGTGAATATACTATGTCCAAATAAGATTTATTTCTACGTAAATAACCAATCGACTAATTATAAAGCTTTTATACAAGAGAAGGTTGAATAGCTGTACTGATGATTAATGTATACAAATTTAGGTTTTCACAAAACTTTTGAATTTTGCTGTCAACACAAAGTACTATTTATTAGTTTCACGCCATATTTCAGACACTTAGTGAGTTTCCTTAATGCAACTAGTTGCTTACTTGATTTCTTAAGTTCTAAAAGCCTCAGAGAATATTTAAAAACAAAGGATATTTGAGCGAAAAAAGTGTTTACAGTGACTTTATTATCAGTCTCTATAATGTAAATTCATAATAATTGTGTTATATTACGAAGGTCACAAAAAGAAATGCGTGTTAGGGCACATGTTTTTCGATTGTGTTAATTGTGAATTAGAAAGGTCACCTGAAAAAGGTCAAAATGATTCGTAGTAAAGTAATAAGCCATAATATCTAGTATCAATATCCAATATTTTTTTACCAAACTAGTATAAACCAACTGATTTCTTTCCACTCGCTTTTTGTTGTTACGTCACGTACTACACACAACGCGGCTTATATATGTAGTGACTCCACTTTCACGAAGAAAATGCGACTGGTTGAATAGAAACAACAAATATTATATAAAACTGTACCAGTGACTGTTTTACTGAACTTCTTGTTTATTCGTACTTCTGTACGCACACTTTCTGCTTTGCTTTGTTGCCATCTTGCTTTTGGCGCTCTGTAACTCCACCCATATTCTCTGGCACGATTTCGGTATTCTTTCGATACCACGAAGTCGCCAGCAAATATACACCTTCATCTGGATTATTTCTTTTACCTGTTTTTGTTTTACGGCAGGAGACTAGAGCGTAATTAGTTTGTAGTGGTGTTCATAGTCAATACAACTAATTACAAAGTATGCAATGGATATGCATTAGAGTGTCAGAGTGAAGTTACTGCTGAAGCTAAGAATATCGGATCCGAATGTATGGCACGATCATAATATTTTGAAGACTATAAGAAATTTGGAAGAAGACAGCCGACAGTCTACTTGTTTCGATAAGATAAGGTGTACACACTTTGTCTGGTGGACTGTTTCTCCTTTAAATAAATCACTGAGCTCATCTGATCTTAACAACTTGATTCATTGAACAAGTATTTGGTAATGCCCTATGGATGGTAGATTAGCCATTCGACTGCACTATTTCTAATCAGTTTAGTAGTTAGCTATGGATTCGTATTTGATTTGAATGAGTGCATTTGCCTCCGGATAGTAGGGTTTCTAATTAAAATGAGAGAGACTGAATAAATTGTTGATATATGGTATTGAAAACTAGTTTCAGGATTTAAATCAGGCACAATTATTCGAAGCGGGAGTTAGTAACTCGAATGCAAGCATGTGTATATCAAGTCTGCCCTCAAAGCTATTCTCGGAGGAGGTTGTAGTGATTTCATTTTTACGAAGAAAAACACGATTTGTTAAATAGAAATATTCATTATTATAATAAATTGTACCAGTGAACGCTTTATCAAAAATTTGTTTATGCGTACTTTTGTTTATGTGCAATGACCATTTTGTTCTTGTATATATACGGACATTAAGCTACGGTCATTGTGCCACCCGTTTCCCTGGTCTCAATCTTATTTTGGCTGCTCTGTACTGTCGTTTCTTTCTCTTGCACGTTTCGGTATTTCTTCGATACCACGAGATCGCCAGCAAATTGACGAATACATACGGTTTGTCCCATCTTCGTTCTTCCTATAAAATATCTGGAGTAACGTGGGAAACAGGAATTCAATTTGTATATAGACATATCTGTAGTCCTGCGACTCGAAAAATTATGAGGTTGTGGTCGCATCGACAGGAACAGCATTCAAAATAGAAACATTTCTTAACGGGAAGGCATGGGAGCGTACCCGGATTTTTTGTTTGAGATATATACACTTTCGAATGTTACCTCACAGGGGGATAGCTGTGATGTACTGGCAGGATGCTTGCATTGCTGTGACTTGGAGTATTTATTACGTCGTATGCTATCACCAAATCACCTCTTATTTCCATATAACTCAACGAAAATAATCGCAGGTTTCGGAATCTGTCTTTCCAAGACTTGTTCGCTGGCCCGGTCACCGAATTATCCCCAGTCTTTGAACTCAATGTAAGAGATTTATGTCTTTTTTGAAGAAGGATTGATGTGACAGCATTGTGGACTTCAAGGTGGGGTCATGAGCATGTTTTGAAAATACTCCCAAACAATTACCGGGTGGTTGCACTAAATTGTCTTAGCCCAAAATGAAGAGTTATGTTTACTTTTGCAGCGTTGTGTAGCTACTATGAAGAGTCATTTGGGGCGATCTTCCATGAACAATGTAGATTTTTTGTGGCATTTGGGGCAATATGTTCTTAACATGATATTGCGACTAGTTAAGTCTTAACCCGTTGAATACTTCCCACTCCTATGTTTTTGTAAGGTTCTTTTAACTATCGAATGAATTACTCGTGTTGTTTCCAAATTTCCATCTCTGCGCATTGTTAGTGCCTCTGAGCTATGAATTCAGCTCTTGCGTGTATTTAGCAGACTTAACGGAGTTATACCTACGAAACCTACTAAACGCTCTCCAAAATGTTCTCGTTCTGATGACTCAATCTCCCAATGTATATTCTGTTCTTATTACTGATATATCGCCTGCCCTTATCGGTGTAGTTACTGATGGTAGACGAGTTATCCTTGTTCCACACAAGCTTGCTTTTACTAGACAAAGCTAGTCGTAGGCCTAGCATGAATTATTGTCTGTTCTTGTCTGTTAAACGACTCATTTATAGATATTTATCTGGAAGGAAATTCAGCATTATTACAGCTAATGATGCTTTAAGGTTCATTTATTTTCCTAAGAAACCCTTAGCAACTTCCAAAACTGTTATAGATCATCTATGGATTATTGTTCTGTGTGCTTTTAAATATAAAATTCAGCACAGAATTTCCGACCAAATTCAACATTTAAATTACATTGCATTTCCAGATTAACCTATCGGATATATGAACTAACTTACTGGTGCAAGGTCTAAGGGTGAATCATTCAGATGTCATCAGAGATCTCAACGACACTTCAAGGGGTATGCTTATCGCTATGTGAGAAGTCTGAAAGGCCGATCCAGCGAGATGAATTATCCGTTACTCACGATGGTAGTTTATGTTTAACTAATCGTGTTGCTATTCCTCTTTCACTGTGTAGATTTATCATTGAGGATCGTTGCAGTAGATAATTGGTTGTTGGGAGAATGATATGCTGTGACCGAGACGTAATCAAGATACGTGCCAACCCTCAGAATGGCTATTCGAATGAGGAGGTAAG